CTACAGTGAGTGGCAACAGTAACGGACTGTCCATTAATGGGAATATCGATGGAGTTCCTTGCGATATGATCATTGACACAGGAGCTAATGTTACCATCATTAGGAAAAGATTTAGCTGAACAGTTTAAAGATAAACTTATTTGGACGCCATCCTGTGTTACCCTTCAGACTGCGTCTGGTGACAAGATCGACATAACTGGGAAGTTAAACGTGAACATCACGTTTGGAAGTGCCGCCTACCATCATGCCTACCATCAAATTAGCATATGTGGCGGATATTACAGATCCATGCATACTCGGATTGGACTTTTTAAGGAAATACAATTTTTCCTTAGACTTCAAAAAACAACAAGCTGCTTTCAGCATCTGAAGACATGACTATCCATCCTCAAAGGGGTTTATCGCCTGGAAATGCCGACGCTCTGTCCGAAAGACCCAGCTCAGAAAGCTGCCGAAATCATACTAGGGTCGAAAAGAAACACCAGACTACCGGCTATTCTCCATCCCAGATGCTCTTCGGTCGAGACCTTCGTCTGCCTTGTGACCGCCTGTTTGGTCGCCCTACGGATGCGCCTTCATCGCCTGAGGAATACATCCAAGATGTCCAGGCCCGGTTTGAAGTGATGCACCGTTCTGCACGAAAGCGAGTCAACTTGGCGACGGAGAAAGTGAAGACCAGATACGACACGAGAGCTACTGGACATAGATTCAACGAAGGAGACAAGGTGTGGTTGTGGAACCGAATTCGACGAAAAGGACTCAGTCCTAAATTACAGTCACCTTGGGATGGTCCGTACACAGTCCTAACAGGCTGAATGATGTCGTGGTTCGGATCCGTAAGTCTTCGAACTCTAACCTAAAGTCGTTCATTACGACAGGTTAGCTCATTACTATGGCCATAGTACGTAATGTAAATAATTGTAAATAGTGTAAGACCATGGTCCTTTTTGTTTCTAAATGTGTATTTAGTAGTATTTGATAGCATTTAGTATTTGTTTTTTATTTCTTTATTGTTATTGCATTTATTGTTCATGTTGTTTATTATTGTAATGTAATGCTTATTATTGTATATATGGCTTAGTTGTAAGTTTGGCTTCCTGTCCAGGGATTGTACTACCCTTCAGATTGTGTTCACAGATAAAATTGACATCAATAGAAAATTAAACATAAACATCATGTCTGGAAGTGGTGTTTACCGTCATATGTAGCAAATATTACAGACACCTGCTTCAGATTAGACTTTCTATGGAAATATAATTTCTCCTTTAATAGTTGAAGTGGTGTCAGCATGTACTCCAGTGACCTGTGTTAAACTAACTAGTAGCCTTCCAGAATCTGTGTGTTCGGAGAACCTAACATTGGTATTATTGCAGAATGCACAGCTAAGTTATGAAGAAAAAAGTGCTGCCGAACATGCTATTCAAGACTTTCAAGATGTTTTCTGCTGCTCATCTTCTGACGTAGGTCAAACCAGTTTGACACAGCCACAGAACTGACACAAGGGATCATCCCCAAATCAAGCAACATCCAAGACATCTATCAATTGTTAAATAGGAAGAACTAAGAAAACTTCTAAAGGACACACAGGAAAGCGACATTATCAAGCCATCAGTAAGTGCTTATATCTCTCCCATTGTAATGGTCCAAAATAAAGTTGGCAACTACATTTTGTGTTGACTATTTTACTGCCAGTCGAATGAGGTCACTAAGAAAGATGGCTACGCTCTTCAATGTTCTGAACACTCTTTGTGGAAGCAAGTCGTTTCTACACTTGATTTAAAAAGTGGGTACTGCCAGGCCGAGATACATCCTGATGACTGTGAAAAGACAGCATTTACTACCAGATAAGGACTTTGTCAATTCAAGGTGATGCTGTTTGGATGTAATGCACTGGCAACATTTAAATGCCACACGAAGATCATATTGAGAGATCTTTCTTATCAAGCCTGGCTGATATACTTGGATACCATCATCATTGGGAAGAGCTTTGATGAACATTTATAAAATCTTAGAAAGGTGCTTCAGAAACTGAAAGAAGTTAATTTAAATTAAGTTCTGCCAAATGTAAACTGTTCAGACAGGAAGCGACTTACCTTGCACATGTCATGTCTGCTGAAGGTGCGTGTACAGATCCAAGAAAAGTGTCAGCAGTTAAAGATTGGAGACGTCCCAAAAATATCTGTCAGCTGAGAAGTTTCCTGGGGCTGGCACATACTATAAGAGATTTGTGAAAGACTTTTCTTCCATTGCCAAGATCAGAGAGCAGACAAACATTCTGGTGGACAAAAGAATCTGAGAATGCACTAACAAACTCAAGGAGGCTGTAACATCCGTGACATTCCTGACTATCTTCAACTCGAAAGAGTTGCTTGTCATAGTAAAAGTCGTCAAATGTTTCCATCATTATCTTTATCGTAGAAAATTCCTGCTCTTCACAGATCATGCATCGCTTACCTAGCTTTTAAATTTCAAGAATCCTGAAGGCCAAATAGACAGATGGATACAGAGACTCCAGGAATACGAGATAACTGTCATCAGAAGGGATAATACCAAGGATATGCTGGTGCCCTGTCTAGGAGATCCTGCCCAGAAAGCTTCCAATATTGTTCCTGGGTCAAAGCAAAATATGAGCTGCTTAATCTTGATGCAAGTCTTATGAATTCAACATCGTCTGACCCAGACTCGTGGAGTAACGAAGAAGTCAGGAAAGAGCAGTTAAAAGATAGTAACATTAAACCCGTAACATTAAACCCATAACTGAACAAATGGGAATATTAAAGTAGGAAACCTACCTGATAGGACATTTTAATATATATTCCTAAGAACATTGGGCTCTCTGGAACTTACTACATATTCAAAATGGCATTTTGTATCAGAAGTTCAAATCGGATGATGGAAAGGCATTCCGATGGCAGTTGATACTTCCAAGATCTCAGATCTCGGACATTCTTAAAGAACTATATAGCACGAGCCACTTTGAAATAATGAAGATTTTGCATAGGGATTAAAAGTAAGTTCCACTGGAGTAATGCAAAGGCTGCCACACAAAAGTGGTGGCTATTGCACGATGCTTCTGTGGGTCAGAAAGGACTGAAGAAACGCAGCAGAGAGAGAAGCTGCAATGTAGAAGCGCTGTTTGAACGCAACACCTTTGACATCCTGGGATCTCTGTCACGAACTGCTGATAGCAACAAATACATCCTCATTATCACTGATTATTCCACGACGTGGCTCAAAGCACATCATATTCCTGATCAAAAGGCTGTCATGGTAGGAAAGGTAATGATATAGAATTGGATTCCCAGGTTTGGAGTGACTCTTCAGCTACATTTGGATCAAAAAAGGAATTTTATTTTTCGTCATCAAATTTAGCAAGAACACTTGTTGCTGCTTTGGTCTGGTCCATGTATAACTGTAATTAGTGCTGTACATAGCTGTAACTTTATCTGGCCCTCATATGCCTACCAGTAATTTCAGGAAGAGGATGGTACTAGAAATCTCTCGGTAGCCAAGAGAACTCTGTAAGTCCGGAGAGAGCATCAGTTTCTGAGCTGCTGGTGTTTAGTTCAGCATTAGTTCAGAGTATTGAGATACCTCCATGTGAGCTTCACTCTTTAGATGTGCTTTCATTGTGTTGTATTTAATGTTTGTAGTAGTTTGAGGTGTAACTACTGATTGTAGTCTTTGATATTATGAAGTGTTTCTTTTGGTAAATTAATTTTATCAAGCTATCACTGGTTCCATGTGCATTCAATCTATTACAGACTAGTACGGATGCAACAGTATTATATATGGAAGGTAAAAACAGAGATTGCTCTTTTTTGCCTTTAGTGAAGCCATCAATTCATGGATGTTTCTTGAGCTGAAAGTCCTGCTAGTGCAAACAGGCCTTTATGTGCTTCAAATAATGTGCCACTTTTCGATTACCCAATTAACCAAAATTTAAACAACTCTTCATATGAATGTAGCTTTAATGCGGAGAATGGAAATTTTTGGAAGATTAAGAGCATTTTGGATGAAAAAAATCATCAAACATAAAAATAGACATCATTCAAAAACAGCAAAAATGTATTGTGAAAACCATAATTTGTGCTTATTCAATGAAAAGTCATTTGAATTTTTTTTGACCAAAATATCACCTACCTTATTTAGGTAGGTAGGTATATAGGTTGGTTGGAGGTAAGAATGGATAATAAAAGAAAAAGCAAATCATTTCATGGTGGTGGAAATTGTCTTTCATTTCATTTTGGGAGTTTAACCAAGACCAACACATAAAAAATTTAAACTTAAATGTAATAAATTTAGTTTTATTTTTCACCTGCTCACAATTTTTCTAATATTTCGTTTAGAGGATAGAATTATTCCCACATCGGTACTCTTCCGTTATCGGGACCAGATTCAGAAATGCACGTATGGATGTATATTTTTATGTATGCATGTATATATACGTATGTATCTATGTGCATTAATGTGTGTGTGTATACTATATACACAACATACATACATTTCTGAATCAGGTCTCTCCATAACAGAAGAGTTCCTTCATATCATCCATTTTTACATTTTGGTGTAACAGACTAATATTTGATAAATTTATCCTATATGCAATAATAATTTCTTTTTTCTTCCTATTCCTGAGATTCCTAAGAACTTTTCTTGGTGATTCCAACATTGAAAAACAAAACTTCTTGGAAACTTCTTTGTAAATCACAAGATTTTCTGTGACATGATTTCAAAGCATAATGCTATATTAATAAAGGAACTTGTTGAATCAGAATCAAAAGAATAAATATATAAAAATAATATACAATTAATTTAGAATTATAAAGAGATGACTGATATAAAATTAAGTTCTAAATATTTAACAGCATTTTGAATATATATTTAAAATATGATCATTAAAATTCACATAAAACCTTTTTAGAATATTTTATACATTTCTAAATATTTAACTGCATTTTGAATATACAATTAAAATGTCATTATTAAAATTTACCTACCATTCACTTTTTTAAACATGCTATACATATTTTCCAAATAATCATGATCCAGGAACCATACACTCTTGTCTTTATCATCTTCATCGAAGGGAACTATGTAAAACATACATTCTTAGTAGAGTTTAAAAAACATATTAAAACTAAAAATTGAGATGCACAGTAGTAATTAATCTGTCTTTAATTGCAAAATGTTAACTACACCTTTTCTTTCTCAAAACTGTGACATATGATACATAATGCAGTGCTTACATCCTTTATTCGAAACGAAAATAAGAATAAATAGCAAGAAGAAATAACTTTTTATAGTAGTTCTGTAGTTAAAATATTCAAATAAAAAATAATACCAAAATTTTTGGAATAATTTATGCATAAAATGCAACATCATTTTCCATGCTGATGACATAAAAAATGCTCATTAAATAAATTTCACTTTTTTAAAACTTTCTTTTTGAGGCTATTGCTTACAGAAGAAATATGTTTGCTAAATTTTAAAGTAGTGCTTTCACACATTATTTTTATTATAATTATTTAAACTGACACTTTTTTCTTTAATTTTTCATATATGAAAATAATTAGATCCTGTTTACTTTAGGGGGGAAAATGGATTAGAATTAAATATCAACTTTACATTTCTCACTTGATTCCAAACTTATAATACTCACGATTTTTTTTTAACATAGCTTAGTTTTGTGCTACTGCATGCTTTGAAATTCATATAAAATACTATATATAAATATATATATAAGATAAAAATATATAAATCAAAATTATAATTTTAACTAACAGTAAAACTTTTGATTCTCCCTTTCTGTTCTAAAATTCGTAATAACTTCTCTCAATTACATCATTTTTAGATCTTTCCTTTTTGCATGGCTTGTGCAGTGCTGTTGACGTAATAATTTTTAACTGAAGCTTTTAACTCAAACCAAAACCTTTCTCTTTGTGTCCTTCCATCTTCCATAACTACGTACTTCAGCTTTTGCCTCTGTGCTGCTTAGACGTTGTTTCATTCTGCTCTGTACCTATTTGCAACAATATCAAAATTGTAAATGTTCTTGAATAGTGCCAAGCGATTGTGGCCACAAACGGCAACTGGAAAATAAAAATGGAATTAAAATTGCCTCGACTGCCAAATTTTTTTAGATATTACGAAGTCAACATATTAGCTCACTACGCAATCAAAATTTTTCCTCTTCAATATGGATCTACATGCGTATCAACAGTGTTCTGGTTTTTCTTTTCCTTTATTTTGCTTTTATTATATATATATATATATATGTGTGTGTGTGTGTGTGTGTGATATTTTAACTTCCAATATTCATTATGGCTGAGGGTGAGGGCATGATGACACAGCTAACAAAACTGAGCTTGAAGTATCATAAACTTTATTTTCATGCATATCAGATAATTTTGGTAGACAAAGTATTTATCTAATCATAGTTAAATACATTAATTTTTATGTACACGGGTTTTAAGGTGAAGAACAAGAGTTTTGGCATCGCAGGCGAAGTTGAGAAGTAGTAGAGGTGACGTAATTGCTCACAACACAGTATTTATTCTACACGGGTGCATTGGTTAATTTTAGCTTTTAGTTCCCTTTGCCAAGCAGCATTATGCAACATGGAAAGATCTTGAATTTGGGAGTACAGGTGAACTAAGGGGGAGAATACAAAGTTTCGAATAGTCAATTTTAAGGTCGCCAATCATATCTTAATGCAGCCATTGTATTTTATTATATATATAAGAAACTAATAAGTAAACTTAAAAAATTTAAAAATTATTTAAAAAAAACTAAATTCCTCTTTGAAACATTTCACTATTTTTGGTCTGTGTAATTCTTTACCCATGCCTATATGGAAGACAAAACACAAACTGAGTAATTGAAGAGTTAGGAGGCAACTTCCCCTTGAAAATATGTCTCCCGCCTGCTCAACAATTATTCACTTAATGCAAATTAATTTAGTTTTAAGTTAGTGCAAATTAATTAAATATTTTTTCAAAGTTTTTAAAGATTAAATTTTTGGATTATATATTTTATTATGTATTTAGATGCTTGCACTTAATTTACTTATGTTTCCTGAATTTGAATAATATTGCAAATTAATTCACAGCAATAATTAATAATTTAATTTTGTTTACAATTGAACTTTCATAATTTAAAATTTTAATTAGCTTTATATGAATGAGATATGATTTTGTATTTGTTACACACAAAGGAAGAAAAGCCACTGGTATGATTTCAGCACACTATTTTGTTCAGGAGATATGCAGTTTCAGAATACTGTGATGTCACTTTCAGCTGACCGACTGAAGGAAAACTACGATTGATTCCACTTCATTCACTTGATTAAAAAATGCTATCACAGGACTCTGAAGTTGCATACCTGTTAAATGAAAATATGTGTTAAAATCATTCCAAAAGTATTTTATTTATTTTAACCTCACACCTTTCTTCTGGGATACCCTATAAATGAGCAACTGAACATTTTCCACTGAAGACAAACTTTTCAAATAAAATTAAATTAAAAAGGAACAAAAATACACAAATATTCAGATAGAAATAAACTTTTTGAAAGTAAATGCAATTTTAAAACGTTTTTGGAATTTTTCCATTAACTTCAATGAATAAATTTTTTAATGTAACACTATCTCATTTTTCTTACATAAAAAATTCACAACATTAACCTTACAGAAAATTATGAGGACGAGATATTTTCTTAAATTAAAAAGCAGCTCAATAAATAAAACATAAAAAATACTTCAGTGCCAAAGTAAGCAAATATTAATAAATATGCAATAACTGCCATTTATAAAGAGGGAAAAACTAACCAGCAAAACTATTTGAAACATCCAAAATTCCCTTTCCTTTCCAAGATCCTAGAAGTATGCCAACAACTCTCTTTTGATTGCCAATTTTTCCCATCCTATTAAAATGGTCCACAACGCTCAGGAGAACTAGTGGATGTACAATAACTTTGGAAATTGGAGGATCTGCAGCAGGCATTTTTTAACGTTCTTTCTAAACAACAGAATTAAAATACAATTAAAAATTCAAGAAATTTAATGCAGCATAATCAAATGACAAAATATATAGCAGATTTCTGTTAATTCAGCTCTAAAATAAATAAATAAATAAGAAGAAGAATGAATAAAAAAATTACTTACTGGAAATAATAAATTTTACTTATTCAGTGAATATCAATAAAGTTAAAAAACTATGAAATGAAAATAAATATATTATGATCATGATATTTTGATGGCTTAATTTTAAGAATGTTTATTGAGAATATTTATTTAACAGCATGTATGATATTCTGTAGCAGAAATGCTCTTACAACAATGGTAACTCATCCTTTTAACAGAGTTGTTGATCATTTGTTGTGATAGCAACATCCCTACATAGTAGAAATACATATCAGAGCCCATATACACGTACAGTAGAAATACATGCAATAAAATACTAATAGTAGTAGTACTAATACAGTCAAAGAGTACTAATACAGTCAAAAGTCTTTAATCCGAACGTCCATAATCTGGACCTCAAAGCTACAAACTTTCTGCGCATGCGTAAACGCATCATGCGTTTACACATGTTCATAATACCTTTATGCATGCGCATATGCATTTACGCATGCATGTTTAATGTATAACGGACGGTATAAGCTAAGCTAAAATTATCTAATTATCTATTTCAGTTAATGTTGCAGATTGCATTATTCCTTAATCTTCGAATTGGATTCAGCTTATTATTTTTTGTAGACTATTAGAGCAATTTTATAAAAGTAAGCTTGAACTTTCGATTATGTCAAATAGAATTTTCCGATGCTGGATACTGCCAAAGGATCTACAAAGTGAAAGCATGTTTCGATGTCCATCAAACAAAAAGTGGAATTGCTGCTGCAAAAAATGGATAAAGGCATATCCTTGTTTCTCTAACCATTCCAAAATCTGCTTATCAATTTCACACTGCTCTGCGGGGGAGGACGTCGCGGCGCGGTGCAATGAACTGGAAGTTGATCTGTCAGCACTATTCTTATCTTCGGGGCAGATGTTTTTATTTTATTCGGCTTATAGTTCATTACTAAATGTAGTATTTCATCTCGATGTACTCTGTCTTTGATATGATTTAAAAAAAATTCCTCTTCATTATAAATATCACGAACACACATCAAATAGTTTTCTGGTTGCAATTTTCTAATTTCGACTATGCGTAATGTATGCTTTACGCATGCGTGCATTGAAAGAAATGTTTAATAAAGTAAACAAATAAATATTAACCTTTTTTTTTTTTTTGGTAAATTTTGATACCATTTAGATCATAATTGTTCTTTATTTCATTAAATTACGGTTTCAATTTTTAATTTTTAATTTTAAATTTCTGCATGCCATCTTACCAGATTTAAACCGATGATCTATAATCCAGAATCGCTGAAGACCCGACGAGTCCTGATTAAAGACTTTATACATTATTGGTATAACAGAAATACATATCAGTAAAATTTGGCAAATGATTTGAAATCATTCTTCCTAACATGCAATGAATATATTTTATTGAAATCCAGGCTAATGATCTTGGAATCCAGTTTAATCTTTGAAACAAACAAGTTTCATGCAGTTGCATATTTTATGCTATTAAAATCTGAGTGTATCTATTTATTTGTTTGTTTCTAACATCATTTCCTATGAAACAGTAAGTAGTTGAATTTTGAGAGAGGTATTTCCGAGTTCAAAAAAATCGTGGGTAGCCATTTTGACCATTCTCATCTTCGTACAAATTTAATTAGCCGAGATATTAATTAAAAACTCTGAAAACTCTAATCTGTGCACTAATTTTTCCGAGTGGCAACAGTTTCACGTGTTGGAGATAAAAATGCTGATTTCGAAAAATATTGCTACTGTTTTCGCTTTGAAATCATAAGAGTTTGTTAATAAAAAATGTTTAAGTTTTACAAAATATGAAATAAAAATAGCATTGCAAATATCAAACATATTATTATATAAGGTCATATTGTGATGCTGAAGAAAGCACGATTGCATAGAAATCTTTTCAATAAATTTTCTGTAGTTTTTGAATCATTTCTGAAAAGTTAAATAAAAATGCTTGAATTTTTTTTCACTGTTAGTATTTCTGATATTTCAGAAATAGAAAAAAGTTGGTAATACCACTGCTAAACAAAATGATAGGCAAACTTAAAAAAATAGTCACATAAATATATTAAAGGGAATTAATGTCTACAATTTACATGTTTGACTTATTCAGTGCTGATTTCAATTATAAAAATGTCATTTGCATAAAATACAAGTATAATCCTAAAATCAAAATAAAACCATTTAAACAGAGCACAACTAACTTGCACTAATGTAATTTTCATAAATCAGCCAAATCAACCACTGAATTTTACGAATATAATTCCATTACCTTGAAATAATGCCTAAGAAATATCTGATATGGAAGCTGTAATATCAAATTATTTTATTCTTCCAAAAAACATTCATCATTGCCCTACTCAATATCATGATTATCGCTGGTTACCATGCCAATGAACCTGGGTTCAAATCCTGCCTGTGGAATAGGGGCATTTAAAATATGGTAATCTCAAAATCTTAAAAGATTGGTAGCAAAGGAAAAAGAGTATGCCATGCTTAAGTGGACCCTAGGATTCCATTTCTAGGGTGTTCTTGGCTAAAACTACAATGTAGTGGCATAAAGTAATTTGCTATCATTCTGATAAGAAATCGCTCGACTTGTTTTAAAAATGAGGCATAAAAGTTACCAGCGAGGATATTCTGTTTGGCATCGGTTGTACCATTTTTGGCGACTTTATCGGTTGCGACGACAAAATGCAAAAGTACCGAATTCTTTAAACATGGCATTCCCTTTCTGTATATCTGTCAGTCTCTGAATTTAAAGTACTGTCAGTACTGTGAGACAATTTTTTTTTTTGTCCTTGAACAGAAAGTTGTTTAAAAAATACTACCAAATTGCATTGCCTGTGGTGCACTATAAGGAACCCAGCCTATCAGTTTCTTCTCCTTTCATACAAAGCTTCATAAAAAAACTATCATTCGGGTACAAAACAGCCCAAACAAGCTTTTATTATGGTCATAGATCACAAATCCCTAACAGTACTATGGTATTTAGAATAGCTCATATGAGCGCCCCCCCTCCCACTTGGCACGAATGCCATAGCTAAGGATGAAAATCATATTTTATCCTGTCCCACTATATCACATTTTCTCCATTTTTTATGAACTTTTTTTAATATATATTTAGGCTTTTCAGTACTTGTTTCAACTTTGTGGATCTAAGAATATTTAGAGTTCACTCAGGCCACTGCACAGGTCCTATTTGGGCTTCCCAGCTATTTTAAAAACAAATTTACTCTTTAAAAGTTCAAATAAACTTTAAGAGTATACAGCTTATCCTCCTTAAGGAACTTTTTTTTTTTTTTTTTTTTTTGCATAAAAAATGAATTCCATGAGTGTGAGTATGGAAGATAATTTTCAAATACTTCCTTTGAGCAACTGCTCAATTTTCATAGATAAAATGCACATTGGAGAAATCCACATTCCTACATACTGCTTGAAATCCACAAGAATGCTAATTTACACCAGCACATTACTTTCATCTAATGATCTGTATTACCACAATATGCACTTTTTGTAAACATATTGCCATTTCATAATCTCTTTATTTTGATCTCCTCTACCTGCTTTTAGCCAAATATTTTTTAAAACCAGCCTATATAACTCATAAAGCACCATGTCCAGCGTATGAAATTATTCTTGTATGTGCAAAAAAGGTACATTGCACAAAAGAAAAAGGGGGAACAGTTCTGTATCTCCTGTTCTACTGGGTTGATTGACAAAATTCAAATTGCGTTTTTCATGTCTTGAAAGTGTGACTTTGGATATGTATTACATTTATATATAGCATTGTTCTAATATAGGTATTTTGACACAAAATCGGACTTTTTCTGAAATGGCATGTAAATTTTTTTCCCATATTCTTTCGATTCTATGATTCAAACTATGTCTTAAATTTTGTAAAATTTGGTGCAAAATTTATGCAGAAATTCATTAATTTTATTTATTCCTTCCTTCCCGACAGTCTTTCATAGGGCTCTGGCATTTGTAATCTTAAAAATTAAGCCCTGATTAAACTTCTTTAAATTTAGCAACCTCTTGGGATAAGAGACAAAGCAAGCTTTGTTAATTACCAAACAGTCATCAGATACTACAATGCTCACCTTGTGAACTTCATATTTCTAAAGCTATTTCATGTCCTGCCAGCATACTTTTTGCTATTTCTTTTCCTTGCTTCAAATAAACTTAAGCATGTTTAAAAAAAAAAAGAAAAAAAGAAAAGGGGGGAATATAATTAGTAAGAACAGGTGTGCTTCTTGTACAGATTTAGTCATGTACATCTGTGTGAAGAAATTATTCTGTCAAGAAATAAAATGTATTCACCCAGATATGAATGAAACTATGTTTTTATGCATTCATGTTATCAATATCAAAATTACTTCACATACATAAATATATATAAAGAGCAAAAATTAATTAGAAAACTCCTTTTATCTTAAAAATACATTTCTTAGGCTATCATTCCAAATATATACAGTCAAAAGTCTTTAATCCGGACCTCAAAGCTACAGACTTTCTGCGCATGTACGCATGTGCAGAAATAATGTATAAAAATAATAATCCGGATCCAATTCGAAGATTAAGGAACAACGCAATCTGAAATAACACGACTGAAATAGATAATTTTAGCTTAGCTTATACCATCGGTTATACATTAAACGCGCATGTGTAAACGTATTATGTGCATGCGTAAAGATATGCGCATGCGCGTAATATCTTTATGCATGCATTTTTTTCTCCTAAGATAAATTACATATAAAAATTGAAGAAGGTTTTATATATATAAATAAGCATGTGCATGTTTATAGTGTAGAGAGTACTAAATTGAAATGCAAAAATATTCCATACTGCTTTGCACAAAAATATGCAC